AGACATTTGATCGATAAAGGGACAAACTAATCAATCAATATATTTTAAAATAAACTAAACCAACAAATAAAACAAGTAAATAATTATAAAAATTCCCGGCCCAGGGTCTTTCTGCATCAAGTTTGCATGTTCTCCCTGAGCATGCGTGGGTTTTCTCTGGGTACAGTCCAAAAACAGGTTAATTGGCTTCTATAAATTGTCCTTAGGTGTGAGTGTGTGCATGAATGTTTGTTTGTCCTGTCTCTGTGTTGCCCTGCGATGGACTGGCGACCTGTCCAGTTTGTCCCCCGCCTCTCGCCCATTGACTGCTGGAGATAGGCACCAGCACCCCTCGAGACCCCACTCAGGACAAGTGTGTAAGAAAATGGATGGATGGATGGATGAATAAGACAGAATTAAAAATCAGTGAAATCAACTAAAGAGAACAAGTACCTGTGGAAACTATTCAAGTAGTAACAAGACTCCTGAGCAGAATATAGGAGGACATTCAACAAGATGACAAAGGATTTGAAACCTACAATCAAAAATGTAATGATAAAACCAACATAGAAAAAAAAATATAATGATTTAAAGGAGAAGTCCGGTTAGCAAGGAATAAACAGTGGATCATTATCTATACCTAAAACTAATACGTTTGCAGTGATTTAATGAATTTAGCGTTAATCAGTAAAAAAATAAAAATGGAGCCTAGGCGGAAGTTCAACTGCAGCCAATCAGCTTTGAACCTCACCTCCACGAAAGCCAATCGGCTTCCAAAGCTCATCTTAAAAGGCCTCCTATACGCACCTGTCTGCTGCTGTGCGCAGGTGGCGGATGCACTCTGACTTTATGCAGATGACCCCGTTTCAACCCACCTCCATCCTCCACCATCGTAGCTAAAGCTTCATTAGAGTCATTCCTCCTGGACTCTTACTGCGTTCCCTGTCTCATCTTAACCGGTCCAGCAGAAGACCACCAGGTTGAGCCTGGTTCTGCCGGAGGTTTCTTCCCAACGGGGAGTTTTTCCTCTCCACTTTATGCTTGTTCATCATGGACAGGTTCTCTCAACCTGTGTTATCCAAACTGGACTTCCATCTTCCAGAACCTTAAGTGAGGCTCTAGAATCAGCCCATTCAGTCCACTGGATCTCCCCATAAAGCTCAACATCTCACTAACCAGCAGTCTACAGACTGACCAACTTCATCTATCTCCTCTCCACCACCAGTTTCAGGCCTGTGGGGAAAACAGCCCTATTCTTTGCTCCTGTTCATTCATATCTATCAAAATTAAGCGCTATGTTTCCTGCCGAGGTCTGAGCACCAAAGACAAAGTAAATCTATCAATAAATTTCTCCTAATTGTCTTTTCTCTTTGCGTGAAAACGATCACTGAGTCTGGGAGCGGCCATTTTTGCCCAAATGTAGGAACACATCACTCCTGACTTCTTCCAGCAGTGACGTCACTCTGCGGTAAGCCTAGCGCCATTCTCCCCGCCTTACAAGCTAAATCAATTAACCCAGTTCTGTCCTTTTATGAATACAGTTATCTCTGTCTGGATTGGTTACAAAAGTTTGAGTTTAGAAATCAATTTGCAAAAGTGTTTATTCAACAGGAATTTGTTATTTTATAATTATATGATTTATTTGTATGTTTTTATGAATTTTAGTCTTTAAAATAGCATAAGTTGAATATAACATATTTCTGACTGGATCATTTCTAGACAATACTTTAGTAGACTTTTGACAAAATACTTCTTCACTCTTGATTAACTAATCTCTTAGATGGCTACTTTTTACTTTAACTTGACTGAAAGCATTAAAGTAGTGCTCCTCTTACTTTAGGACAATTGCTGGGTGTCGTCATACACACTACGCTTTGTTTTTAAAAGATATAAATATAAAAATATAACCGCGGATGTCTGGGGGACAGTGATTTGCCTACATGTTATGAATGCTGGCGTACCATAAATAATAAAGTATGAACAGTTTAGTTTGTGCCTTCAAGTCGTCGCCCATAGGAAAACGTTACTTGGATATAACCTAATGGAATATCTTCAGAACGGCTCCAAATGACACAAAACTCATATAAGTGAGTAGAACATGATGTAATAACGTAAAATCAAGGGTCAAATGTAAAAATACGGTGTTCCCCTTTAAGGAGGGAAAAGTAGAGAAAAGGCAAANAGTGAATTTACTGCAGATCCTGTTTCATTGGCTTCAGCAAAGGATTCCCTCTCTAAATGCGGCTCCATGTGCCTCGATTTCATCTCCTGCTGACATGGTAAGGAAGTCTGTGGCAGAGACCCCCCCCCCTTACTGTGTGCTTGCTGTAGTTTCAGCTGCATTAAAGATTAAACAATGTACCTCATTATGGGAGAAAGACACCCACTGAGGCTACTCTCGCCCACTTTTCCCTGCATGCACCAAAGGAATTTCAGATTTGCCAGCGCTGCATAGTGGCGCACATGAATGAGAACGCGTTTGTTCACTGAAACATGCCGTAGCTACGCAGTCATGCCCAGACACCCTAACACAGGAGCAGCCGCTTTTAATGGGGCATCTGTAGTCATGGAAACCTGATTTGATCGCACTTGAGTCACAGCACATGTTATGAGACGAAGTGGCCAAATAACAATGATCTGCATATGGATATAGACGCTCATCTGCTTTGCTTCTCTTCTATGGCCTGAAGCGCAGAGGAAGGGAGGAGATAGCGGGAGGGACTGAGGGGGGGGTGAAATGAAAGAAAATTAGAGGAGAATAAGAGGAGAGAAGGAAATGAGGGAGCATGCAAAGGAGAAGGGGTGGGCATGAGACAGGGACAGAGGGGAGCAGGGGATGGGAGATGCTGCAGGCATCAGATCAAAGCTGCGGCTCTATCCGGCTGCTCGGACACTGAGGCCTATGTCTGCATGTCTGCTGCTCTGCTGCTCATGCTGCACCTGTGCTTCCAGGAGGCTCTGCAAACCTACTGATGAACACTTAAAAGATGCAAAACAGAAAGAAAGAAACGTCACATTTAAAGTGGCTGATGAGAAATAAACTAAGATAAACTTTTAGCATTTGTTCCTGCCTTTGTACTGGTGAAACTGGTTTATTTATCTTTAACAGCACCAGTAACAATGTCATCTTGCTGTGGTTTATTTAATTGGATTTAAAATGACCTGGATTTTATATTTAATTGGAATTTCATTTGATTTGTTTATTATTCAAATAACAAAACAATATGTCCCTTTTTTAAATTTAAACACTTCATTCCTAAGGAATTGACCCAAATTGACATCTTGAGTGAAATAATCCTTTATGGTACATTTAGTTGCCAGAGTTCAGGTACTGAGAGTCATTTTANACCCAAATTGACATCTTGAGTGAAATAATCCTTTATGGTACATTTAGTTGCCAGAGTTCAGGTACTGAGAGTCATTTTAAGAGCTTTATCACCAGATGAATTTAATCAATTTTTAATTCAATCTAAATCAATTTCATTTAATGCATTTTATTTATTTTTTAGAGTTATCCTCCTAATACTGTCCATGCTTTGTATATAGAACTGTGCTGTAGATTTTCTTCCGTGTCTAATGTTAAAAACAGAAGCATTTCCTGCTGTCACCTACATTTTACTGCTAAGCTACAGAAATAACAGGAAGCTATAAACACAAACAGGCCATTTTTAAGGAAAGCCTGGGAAATAATATTTATTGCAGCACAGTATTTGTAGACTGTTCCTTCTTCAGATCGTTGCAGACCTTTCCTATTCTTAGAGTTAAACTCGGCCTTTAAGCTGCTGCCTCTTTTTCTGCTCCACCCGGGTCTCCATCTCTTCTATTTTCTAAGTTTTAAAGATGACAGCATGCATTTCAGAGTTTGCATACTGGTAAATATTCATACCACTCTGCTTTCATGATCTGTTCAATATTGCACGGCAGGAATATTTTTAGTGATTACGGCGCCTCTTTTTCACACCTGCAGAAGCTTTCATGCATTATATGATTCTTGGATGATGTCAGGAGGAGCCTCATGCTTTTTTAAATTCCTGATTTAATAAACTGGGATTATGGTTTGAAGGAAGTTGTTCTTTCCATGTTGAGGTTCAAATCAGCAGCATCAGTGCCTTTTTATTCAGTGATGCTCATCAAGCTTGCAGTCAGTGTGCAGGAGGATTATTCAGGCTGCAGTCTGTGTGTGTTTGCATCTTCATGCGTGATCTTTAGCCCTGCATCAGTGCAAGGTCTTAAGGGGCGTCGTATGCTGCTTCTTTGCTTCTTCTTGGAGGGCTCTTACACTGTGGTTGCTTGGTAACCCTCGTGTTTCTGATTGTGGAGCCAATTTGTTTCATCCAGAAAACATGAGTGAGAGAGAGAGGAAATTACATGAAATGTTGATGACGCTGTCAACAAGAGATGCTTTCTGTTGGCTTGGAACACTGGGATTCAGAAATGCTGAAGATTAAGTTTAGAGCTCTGTTTTTCTCATGGAGTAAATCTGTCAAAAACAAACTTAACAGAAGAAGCCCTTTGGTCTCAGAGGTAAACATGAAATAATTTTGATTTCTCCATAATCTTCCCCTGTTAAGCCTGGTTTATGCTCATATATCACTCTGGATGGCATCCGCCATATGTTGTTGACAGCCCGTCGGCTGGATCATGCTTTGTTCTCCCAGCATGGACTGAACTGTTTAACCAGGTTAGTGACTCACAGGTTCATAATCATCCTCATTATCACAGTGACTAACCTGTGTTTCTCTCTCCTGCAAAAGTTCCTGCCTTAGAGGCCAAAGCTGCTGTTGCTGCAGGTCTGCAGTCTGTGTTTTAAATAAACGCTTTTTGAGTCATCCCACTGTCTGTCTGGCATTGAATGCTGGGTCCTCTGTTCTGACAGATACTCATGTTTCATATGGCGAATGTAAGAGACGTTAAGTCTGAGGCATACGGCCTCAATCCCAAAATGTTTTCAAATAGAACTTTGATTTTTTTTTCACTGCCCTTCAAATATTATCTTGGTTAATCCAATGTTAAAGGCGTAATGACCCCCAGCAAATCAGCAGGTCAGTAAAACTATCCAATCTACAACAGAACAAAGTTCCCATCATGTCTGTTAAGGTGGAACCAGGTGCAGCTTAGACATTGGCATACCTTAAACGTCTCAGTTATTATATGTTCTTCTTCTGTCACTAAATTATCCCAAATCATAAAGTCATCATAACGTCGTATTCTTCCCTGGCCTCAGTGAATCAAACACATCAGCTTTTTGTCTCACAGGAGCTCTAGAGATGTACGTCTGTTACTCACATGCTGTTACCAGGATGATGATTCTGACATATAGAGCTTTGATGCAAGAGATCCAACAGTCAAGATTTAATCCTGTGATCCTTCTTCGCTTTGCAGAGGAAGGAGGCAGCTATAGTAGGAAGCTTTACCAAAAAGCAGATGTGACAGTTACATTTCCTTCGTTTTTTTATCCATCGCCTCTTTAAATAAATAACATCACGCTGCAAAAGTTGTAGGTGCTAAAAGCTGAGTGCACATGCTTCCAAAAGTAATGTCATAAACCATTTTTGTTGTTGGGTGCATCCTACTAAGGCTAACTGAGTTTCATTTGAAACCAAAAGGCAAACAGAAACCTGCAGGCATTTAGTTTAACTGCTTCATTCTCTCTCAGTGAAATATCAAAGGATTGGCAGTTTTTTTATGCTACCTCTTATTTCAGCAAGAGAGAAAATAAATGGTATAAAAAGGTTTTCTCTCTAAAAAATACTGTATAAATGTGAAATATGCAGCCATGTCATCTTTACAACTTATCTCTCAGCAGGCTGAATTTTCTCACCGTGTCCCTGATCCATGCAACCATAGTCATGCTGGTGTTTAAAATGAATCTGCAAGGTGTATAATATTGCATTCACACCTTTAAACACTGATGGACCTACTGGACCAAACTAGAATGACTGAAACTAGAATAAACATTAGCAAAAGAGTTTCTAAATATAACTGTAAGTATGCTGCACCATTCTTCAGCGTCATTTTAGAAACATGCAGTTTCAAAATCTAACATTTCTCCCTCATTTCTACTACAGCCCTAAATTCTGTTTATAGGCCTTTTTCTGTTGCTTTTCCTGACAATTACTGATGTGATTAAAGGTCAACTATCTGAATAGAAGATAATCTATTCTTTATTCAATTTGCCATAATGCTGAGCCACAGATTCTGATCATGTTATAACTATAATGTAATGGATTCGGACCCAATATTCAACCACGACAGGTCAGTGACGCCTAAAGTACTTATTGGAAAAAACGGGTTTAAACAGCTCTGGCTCCCTGGTGTGCAGCTGTCGATAACGGGCCGGAACGTCCTAGAGGCAGAGGGACAGGTCAGAGGCTGCAGAGGCAGGTTAGAACTGAGGAGTTGATGAAGGACTAACCTGGTAATGAGAGGAGCCAGAGCGCTGAGAGTAAGACTGACACAGGCAGGAGGCTTCAGGGACTAAGATGTCGGCTTGTTTGTGTGGGCAGACCGTTGACCGGTCGACAACGTGTGCTGGCTTTCCAGCGGCTTTAGTCCAGAGGCAGTCCAGGTTCGGTAACGGGGTCCAATAAAGCAGCAGAGGTACAGGAGGGGTAATCCAGTAAATGTGTCCGATTCCAGTTCCAGGTCTAATTTCCTTATTAGACCACATTATATTACTCCAACGACTGGAGAAGTGGGTGGGCCTCTCTAGTTCTGTACTAAACTGGTTCAAATCATACTTGGAGAACAGGAAGTACTTTGTGTCAGTAGGCAATTTTACATCTGAGCAGACAAAGTTGACCTGTGGAGTTCCCCAGGGCTCTATCCTGGGGCCTCTTCTGTTTAACATCTATATGCTCCCACTGGCTCAGGTTATAAAGAACAACAATATTAGTTACCATAGCTACACAGATGACACACAGCTATATATTACAGTATCACCAGGAGACCGGGGCCCTGTACAGGCTCTTGGTAAATGTATTGATGAGATTAATGACTGGATGTGCCTCAACTTTCTTCAGCTGAACAAAAACAAAACTGAGGTGATTGTTTGTGGAGCTAAAGAGAAACGACAGCAGGTTGTTACAGAACTTCAGTCCATACACCTAAAAACCACCAATCAGGCCAGAAATCTGGGTGAAGTGATGGACTCAGACTTAAACTTTGAAAAACACATCAAAGCGATCACTAAATCAGCCTACTATCACCTGAAGAACATCTCAAGGATAAAAGATCTGATGTCTCAGGAAAATCTGGAAAAACTAGTCCATGCATTCATCTTCAGTCGGCTTGACTACTGTAACAGCATCTTTACTGGTCTACCTAAAAAATCAGTTAAACAGCTGCAGCTCATTCAGAACTCTGCTGCTCGAGTTCTCACAAAGACCAGAAAAGTGGACCGCATTAGTCCAGTTCTCAGGTCTTTACACTGGCTGCCGGTCCATCAGAGAATAGACTTTAAAGTTCTGTTGCTGGTCTATAAAGCTCTGCATGGTTTAGGCCCAAAATACATCAGTGACCTCTTGACCCAGTATGAACCTACTAGAGCCCTCAGGTCATCCGGATCCGGCCTTTTATCAGTTCGCAGAGTCAGAACCAGACATGGAGAGGCTGCGTTCAGCTTCTATGCTCCACATGTCTGGAACAAACTCCCAGAAAATCTTAGATTAGCTGAAACACTTAGTTTATTTAAATCCAGGCTGAAGACCCACCTGTTCTCAGCTGCATTTACGTAGATTCTATTCAAAAGTTAAAATTCGCCCGTCTCTGTATTCTCTCTTTTTAATTTTAAATGTTTTTAATTTTGAATCACGCTTTTAATTGTTTTTAATTGTTTTCTTTCCCTTTTGCTTATAATGTTTTATGTAAAGCACTTTGAATTGTTCTGTACATGAAATGTGCTATACAAATAAACTTGCCTTGCCTTGCCTTGCCTTATAACCACAGAGAGTAAAGGGGGCAGGCAGGCTCAGGTACTCAGAAAAGGGTTCAGAAGCACAGGTGGTCAATCTGGAATCCAGTTTCAGGACTCAGACAGGCAGAAAAATCCAGAGAGGGATCAGAATCGGGGGACAAAGACAGGTTGGTAGGCAGGCAGGCAGGCAGGTTCACCATGTTAAAGGCTGGAAGTTTCTTACCAGCTTGAAACGATCTGGCACTGGAGACAGATCAGGATGGAGCTTATATGCAGGTGGCGACAGGTGAAACAGGTAGAGGTTAACAGCAAGGAGGGTGGAGACTGAAGCAGAGTTAAGCAGAATCAGCTCCAGTGCCAGGACCTACACAAATAAAAACAAAAGTGTAGAAATGGATGTTTTTGCAGAGAAGTAACATAAGGTTGAGCGTGTTTTTACAGGAACATCTTAGTTTACTAGTGAGCAGACTTTGAATACAGAATATTCTAACATTATACTGCTTTATTGTTTATAGATAATGCAACTATAAAAAGTTAATCTCATCTTCTGCTTTATCCGGGACAGAGTTGCGGGGGCAGCAGAGACTCCCAGACTTCCCCTTTGCAGACACCTCCCCCACCTCCCCCTCAGAGGGAGGCGTCCAGGGAGCACCCGATAAAAAAGTCTGATCCTCCTCAGCTGCTGGAGAAGCAGCTTTACTCCGAGCTTCTCCTGACTGACCGAGCTCCTCACCCTCTCTCTAAGGGAGAGCCCAGCCACTCTTTGGACGATCAAATTGTGCTGAGGAGAAAAATGTGGTTATTGGAACCTACAGATATAACAGCGGTTGCACACATACGTTTCTGTCGGACTCTGATTCCAGCTAGGATTTTAGAAAAGCTTGCAAAGCAATATCAGTGTTGATCTGTGACCAAAAACCATGAGACCTGGAAAGTTTTTCCACTGATATCCAGACCATTTCATTGTTTTCAAGGTTTCCATTGGTAGAAAAGGCCTTAATTCTACAGCAAGCAGTTTGAATGCTGAACAAACACAGTTCAAATATGGAATTGGACAAAACAACTTCTGGCAAATAGACAAGACATAGTCAGGGAGAACATGCAGAAAGATGCCGGGTCGGGAATCGAACCCAGAACCTTCTTGAAGATTTGAAGGTTTTCTCAAGCCTGAAAGGATTTTTTTCTCCCCTTCCTCTTTCTAACTTACCGTAAGAGAATCTGGTAGAGAGCACAGACCGAAAACACAAAGCCATGCATGTCTAAGGCCCTCTATCTTCTTCTACAGGTGGGTTGCATTTTTACCTACAATTCAAAGTGTTCCCCTGCATACAGCGCTGAAGTGTTGGCCTAGTGGCTAGAGCAGAGCACTGGGGCTCCGAGAAGGTTGCAGGTACCAAGTTCAATCCCCCCAGCCTCCACTCTGGGTCCCTGAGCAAGACCCTAAACCCCACACTGCTCCCCGGGCACTGCACAATGGCAGCCCACTGCTCCCCGAGGAGGTGGGCTACATGCAGAGAGGGAATTTCTATAGTGTGAGATCAATAAAGGGATTTACATAGAAGTTAACCCACTTGAGTTTGCAGCAGTACTTGTTCAGAGTTATGTGTAAACCTTGTTGTTATTTCTGCTGCACATGCTAACAATAGGGACAACAGGCTTTCCTCTAAGGGGAATGAATTCCATTAAATTCATTTCACTTGTGTTGCTACAGTTCACAGCCTTTTCAAATGTGTTGCCTTTAAACTGGCTGTTTGCTGTATGTAAGCTAACAAGTTTGCCTCTGAATGTCCCCTGAATCAACAGAAGGCTTATATTTGGTCTCTCATGTCCCCCAGTCAGCTGCCTTGAGCTCTTGATATTTTTTTTAATTGCACCAAGAGTGCATGTGGGGGGTGTATTAAGGTGGCGGATCACTTTCGGCTCTCTGTCAGCTTTGCTTCCCTTGGGCATCAGTGTTTTCCTCCTAGCTCCACCGGGCTAGAACAACAGTAACAACCGCAGTTGTAATCGTTTTGGGATGGGCTGCTTCTGTTCGATGTGTGTTTATGGAGGGATGAGCTACTTGTGTCTAAGTGTGCCGCTATGCATGAGTGTGTGCATGGATTTGTCTCCGTTTGTGTGGTTTTGTTCTGCGTTTGCTCCTTTCGGAGAGGGCTTGTTCATTAGGTCTGTGGGGAGATGAGCTTTCTGCTGACTTTGTTGGGTTCAGAGCCAGAAGCTCTAACTGATCTATAGTGTCCCCCACCCACCCACCTACCCAAATGGCTGCCTGCAGAGGAAGGATGTGTAACACATGGATTACACATAAAGCTTCTCTACTTTTATGTTCATTTGAATTCAGAAGGGCAACATTTTAGTTTTTACCCCTTTTCCTGAGGTAATATCTGCAAAACTAGTGATAAGTGATAAAGATATGGTACCAATTATATTTCCTAGAAGTTTTCAGTATTACAAGCTTCACTATATTCTTTATGCATTCAATGCCCCTAAATTAAATCTAGTGCAACCAACTGCCCTAAGAAGCCACTAGCTTTGTAAAAACCGACATCCAGTGAAATACTGAATCCCACTAACAGGGCTCAGTGAACAAAGAGCCTCATGAAGACCAAGCACACCTGGTTGTCACCAGGGTCTTGGTAACTCTGGAGGAGCTGTAAAGATGCGCTGCTCACTTTGAATGAGAAACTGTTTACAAATCTAATTCCAATACAAACTCAGTAGGAAGATTTAAAAAAAAATTTCCCAGTTGATCTCCAGTCATAATGACCAACCTTGATGCATTAAAAGAAAAAAATTAATCAGTTTCAGTTTATTTCTATAGCTCCAATTCACATCATGTCATCTCAGGTCACTTTCCAGTTC